TTGCGTTTTTTTAACAGTATTTTGATCTTTGAATTAAAAAATGGGATTTCTCAGGAATTTCATGATATCAGAAGATAGCCCGTAAAAAACTCCATCTTCTATGTGAAAATATCTAAGAAAAATCATGGCTGGCTCAATTAACTTTTTTCAACTCCGTTCATCACGACGTATTTTTTATGCTGATTATAACGTGTTTTCATTGTTTCTTCATGTTAATCATTTTTCATTCACGATTTAATCTATAAGTTCATTCAATAAGCATAACTACATCGAGTAGAATGTCAGAGCCATATTTCTAATGATACTCTTATGTATATAAATGTGATCAACCAAGTGAACCTCATAGTGCGTAAATTCTAAATTTCGAGCTCGCTTCACGCCAGTCCATTTTTATACTTAACAGCACATAGTAGGATTTCATGAATTGCAGCCATAGGCTATGAGCGCATTATGTGACTGTAAGTTCGTTAATTAATTAGTACCCAACTAATTAGAACTAATTAGAGAGAGTGCTCAATTAATCAGCACTAACTAAGGCGGCTAATAGTTAGGGTAAGCATAGTTTGTAGTAGACATCTGTAAAGTTTTGAGGGCTATTGGGGTCAATGTTGAATGCGTTAGGAAATATTGGATTTATGAGTAATGTAAGAAACGTGTACTTGAGTTTTGCTTTGTCAAGTAAGAGTAAGCTTTTTTGTTAGCTGAAGGTAATTGAGTCGCGTGATAAAATGTCTTCGATACACAAGTAGTATATGCGGCGGAGAAAATGTTTGAAAATTTAGGTAAACTTTGAGCTCTTCTGTAGTTAAAGACCGATTGATCATTAGGTGTGCAACAGACCTGGCTCGTGTGAACAAAGCTGGCTGACTAGTTCTAGCTTAGCGAACTGAGCTGAATCTATGATGCACCTACGTACGGTTACCGCTTCAGAATAGGGCTTTAGGATTTATGGACACTCCTATATAATAGTTCTTGAGTACCTGTAGCACAGTGAGGAGTTTTCGCATAAGCAGACGAACATACGACTTTTTTGCTCAGAAATGGCTTTCATTTGCTTAGAAATAACCATACATCATTCAGAGAATCATCTTTAAGAAAACAGAGTTTTTAAGAAAAAAATTTACGAAAAAATCTGGCTGGGAAGTAGTACCTCAGCCATAATTTTCCGAAAAAAATTTGTTTTGAAAAATATGTTGAGCTACATATCACTCGAAGTAGTGTAATGCGTACATTCCGAATATCACCATAGTTTTTCTTTAAAGAGTAATATCAGTGCCAAAAATCGGATTTCCTACTGTAAAATAGCTTAGGAAAGGTTTCATACGTATGCGCCACTATCATAAGTAGGTTACATATGTAAGAATGTCTGGTAAAAATGCGCGCTCGATTCGACGTTTTCTCTTTGTAGTGCTTACAATATATGGAACGATATATTTTCAGATAGGTTTTGGATCACGAGATCCTTTGTCTTCTACTCTATTTTAAATTAAATTTGGACCACTTTTTTTTAAACATATGGTCTACCCATGAGAAAGCTTTTTGTGATATTGTTTGCTTGTGCAATATTGTTTCATATTGCCTAGCAGCTTGGTTTTCTTTATTTATGCTGATTCCTGGGACGCTAGCCTTGGCGAGCTCTTTTCTTGGGTTTTATAAAACTTTGAAAACCACTATTTTAGGAAATGATAGATCACATATGCATGTATCTACGCAAATCGTTAGATTCTAGTAAAGAATATTTTCGCACATGTTCGCGTGGCTCCCCACTGTAACAGCCATCAACGCTTGCTGATTCAGCGCTACTTCACCTGTGTATTGACTTTGTGTTGTTCTACTTGTAAGTTGGATGAAACCCACTGATAACAGCTAACAAAGTGCTCCGTTCTTCATTTTCTTATCAAATATCTATTATACAAGTGAAGACTGCTACTCAAGTATGTTGTGTGCAAAGTTATCGACTTTTCGCGAAAGAAGAATAAAAGCATGTGCACCAACCAACTTTTTTCTCTCTTTCTGCGATTAATTCCTGTGACACAAACGACATACTGTATCGTTGTTAAAAAACAAAACAAGGGTCCATAGTGTCTTATCGAGCCTATTTGAATATATAATATATTCATTGTAGACTTCTTAACTAATTGGTGATCAAACAACACAAAAATAAAACTTTTGAAAAGTTCATTTCTCAAACCGATGCGAATCTTTGCGAAGAGCTCGTAATGGTACAAGACTCTCATGGAAAAGTCTTCAACTAATCCATGCCGTTTTTGTTGATATTTTGCCTATATGTAGGGTTCGATGAGATTAGAAAAAAACTTAAAAGAATAAAAGTCCATAAGCTTTCCTTCTCAAGTTATGATCATTTTACTTAGTTTACCACCTAGCACAAGGGATTCAGCAAAAAATCAAACTGAGAAATTTCGATCGGAAGTTTTGTCCACATGCAAGTCTTATGGCCTATATATTAGCCTAAAAGTTCCAGTCAAAGTGGACGCCTCTTTCTCAAAATATTGCATTATCAAGAAAACATTACCATGCTACATACATGTCAGGAAAATCAACTTCTACGAAAAAATCAATATTTCACGACAAAAGCATTTGTTTTGACTGCAACCTTAAGCCTAATATATAGGTCATAAGACTTGCATGTATACGAAAGTTGATTTTTCACTGAATCCCTTGTCATAGGTGGTAAAGCAAAAAAATGATCATCATTCGAGAAGGAAAGCTTATGCACCGTTATCTTTTTAGACTTTTTTCTAGTGTCATCAAAACATACATATGGGCAAAATATCAACAAAAACGGCGTGCATCCGTTGGAGAACTTCTTTTTTCAGTAATTTTGATGTTAACCTTGTAGAATTCTAGTCTGTAGTCGCCCTACTAATGATCAAAGAGCTAGAATGAAGTGAGTCCTATAAGAGTACCCTTCGAAATACGATAAAAAGTAAAATCAATGGTTCGTTCGAAGGGATTGAAAATTTTCAAAATACAAGTACAAGGAGACGCTATCTATCTTGATATGAGGGCGTGAAGAGGCCAGACATCATTTACGCCAACTGTAACCATTACTCTACTGTTTCACATGATCGACAAGGTTTTTAACTTGAAGAAGGATGAAGGCATGACGATGTGACTATGGGTGTGGGTGTGGGTATCGGTGGACGTAGACGTACTTGCTGAAGAGAAGACTCACACCCACACCCATGCCCATCCATACCCGCGCCTACATCGACACCCACTACCACGTTCATATCATTTGCTTCCGCTCCCACATCCACAGCCACACTTCCACCTAACCATCCACTGCTCATAATTACAGCTGTACCAACCCACATCAATGCCTACCCGGAGCCACAGCCACAACCACATCCACCAGCACCAATTCACACCATACAGCCACAGCTGCATCGACCCACAGCCACATCCACCCATTCTCACATTCGGACACACATCTACCTAGGCACACACATCCTAACATAAGATTGCACTAGCCTACAAAATTTATGATGATGATACCTCCACTTATTGTCTTTGTATCGTTCTTCTTGCTATCTTATTCTTATCATTCTATTTAATTTTGCTTAATTTCTTCTTATCCTGCATTGTCAGTCTCATTTTATAGGGTAAATAAAAGTCAACAGAAAAAAAAAATCCAATGAAAGTTGGAAAGAATAACGATAAGATAAATGATGTTGTTGGATTTTTTTCTTTCGTTTGCTTTTGACAAGCATATTTTCAATTGAAAGTAGGTAGGGTTTATCTTTGAGTGTCAACAAAAAAAAATACGCACCCATATTTGACGTCATAGAATAATCTAGATAAAAAACATCCAATATCGAATATATAAATAGAAAACAGTGGTCTCTATCCAAACAACAATTGATCCTTCACAATATTCAATCGTCGAGCAAACGTCAAAAACAACATCGAAAATGAATAGACAACGACGACTACGAATGGCTGAAAATTACCTGGTCATCTGGGTCGACAGCAATATCAACATGGCAAATGAAGATTGCCAGAATACACTCGCGCAATTGCGCGGTGTTGTTAATGAAGTCAATCCATGCACCACGGTCGAACAATGTATCAAGAAACTCCAGGAAAACAATGAGGAGACATCATTCGTCATCTCCTCAGGTGCATTAGGACAACACCTAATACCAGAAATTCATGGCATGCCAAAACTGGATGCCATATATATCTTTTGTGGCAACAAGCAACGTCACCAAGAATGGGCTAAAAACTGGCCCAAAATTAAAAGTGTGCATACATCAATCAAGCACATCTGTGAAAAATTGGCACTAGCTGTCAAACAATGCAATCAAGATCAAGTTACAGTCAGTATTATCGGTGTCAACGAAGGAGGTTCTAGCGAAAATCTCAATCAGCTAGAGCCTTCCTTCATGTATACCCAAATATTCAAGGAAATACTCCTTGATATGGAACATGATCAACAAGCTATCAAAGACTTGGTCACCTTCTGCCAAGAACAATATAAAGACAATCCAGCAGAGCTCAAATGTATTCAAGAATTTGAACGTACTTATCATCCATCAAAAGCCATTTGGTGGTATACCCGCCAATGTTTTACATACAAAATGCTCAATCGAGCATTACGAACACTTGACGGTGACATTATCATCCGAATGGGATTTTATCTATGTGATGTTCATCGACAAATTGAAAGTTTACACGCCAAGCAAATCAGTCAATATCATGGTAAGATATTTGTTGTTTATCGCGGGCAGGGATTATCAAAAGTAGATCACGAAAAACTCGTCAAAAGCAAAGGTGGACTCATTTCATTCAATAATTTTTTATCCACCAGTAAAAATCGAAATGTGTCTTTAGCTTTCGCCAACGAAGCCTTAGGAACAGAAGGAATGGTTGGCGTTCTCTTTCAAATGACCATCGATCCCATGGTCTCATCGACTCCTTTTGCCTCCATCAAGGAGGTTAGTGATTTCGCACAAGAAGAGGAAATTCTCTTCTCGATGCACACCGTCTTTCGAATCGGTGAAATTCGAAAAATTGATAAGAAAAGTCCACTTTATGAAGTGGATCTTAAACTTACGTCGGATGATGACCAGCAACTTCATCAATTAACCGACCGTATACGAGAAGAAGTCGACGGCGCTGGATGGTATCGAATGGGTAAATTGTTGCTCAAAATAAGTCAATTTAACAAGGCCGAAGAATTGTACATGGCACTATTGGAACAAGCATCCAACGACAGTGATAAAGCATATATCTATCATATGCTTGGAATGATGAAAAATGGCAAAGGACAATATACAGAAGCTGCTTCATTTTATGAAATGTCTCTCAAAATTGAACGAAAAACTCTACCAGAAGATCATCCTTCATTGGCTCCTACATACAGCAACATCGGTCAAGTGTACAAGAACATGGGTGACTACTCGAAAGCACTTGAATTTTACGAAAAAGATCTCGAGATCACGAAAAAAGCTCTGCCTCCGAATCATCCCGATTTGGCTATTTCCTACAACAACATCGGTCAAGTGTATAACGCCATGGGTGACTACTCGAAAGCACTTGAATTTTACGAAAAATCACATAAAATCTACGAAAAAGCTCTGCCTCCGAATCACCCTCATTTGGCTACTTCCTACAGCAGCATCGGTCAAGTGTATAGCGCCATGGGTGACTACTCGAAAGCACTTGAATTTTACGAAAAATCACATCAAATCTACAAAAAAGCTCTGCCTCCGAATCATCCTCATTTGGCTACTTCCTACAACAACATCGGTGAAGTGTATAACAACATGGGTGACTACTCAAAAGCACTTGAATTTTACGAAAAAGATCTCGAAATCACGAAAAAAGCTCTGCCTCCGAATCATCCCGATTTGGCTACTTCCTACAACAACATCGGTGGAGTGTATGACGACATGGGTGACTACTCGAAAGCACTTGAATTTTACGAAAAATCACATAAAATCCTCGAAAAAGCTCTGCCTCCGAATCATCCCGATTTGGCTAGTTCCTACAACAACATCGGTCAAGTGTATAACAACATGGGTGACTATTCAACAGCACTTGAATATTCTAAAAAGGACTTTGAAATTACAAAACAAGTTCTGCCTGAGAATCATCCTGATTTGGCTATTACATACAACTGGTTCGGAAAGATTTATCGCAGTATGAAAGATTATTCAAAAGCACTTGATAATTTCGAAAAATGTCTCTCAATACGTCAGAAAGCCTTGCCTGACAATCATCCAGATCGAGCTACTACATACAGTGATATTGGTGATGTTCATCGATTAATGGGTAATTATGAAAAGGCACTTGTATTTCATCAAAAAGCATTAAATATTCAAGAAAATGTTCAATGTAATCCTCTGGAATGTGCAACGACATATATAAATTTAGGTGAAACTTATCGTGAAATGAAAGATTATTCAACGGCATTGAAATACTTCGAAAAAGGATTAGAAATACGTGAAAAGAAATTACCAAAAAATCATCCTGATTTAGCTGTTGTATATCATAATATGGCAAAATTATATTTGGCTACACGAAAATATAGTATGGCAATGAAAAATATTCAACAAGCAGTTGAAATAGCTCAAGAAAAATTACCTTCAACTCATCCTCATCTTTTGGAATATAAAGAAACATTTGAAAAAATTCGAAAGAAAATGTAATTCATTATTTTTTTTTTCGTTTACTTGCTCAATAAATTGGTTTTGATTCTTTTCCACTTCCCTACTTTTCTAGGCTCATTTTCACGCGTGCGCGACCAGGGAGAGGCCCTATGCGTATGAAACGGGTACACACAGAGCGGACCACGCCGGACTGGTAGGGCAATGTACATAGATGTACCGTACATAATGACGGCAGGGACCTACGTACATTAAAGGCCTTCCCGAGCACTACACTGCTTTCGCCATTCTATGACGAATAGAATCTCTCTCTGGATCAGGTTACGAAGCCACCTGACAAGGCTGTGATATAAATTGGTATCTATCTTCTAACATAAATAACATAGACTTAACATAATAACACTTTACTATAAATGTGTACAACAACGAAGAAAAAAACTATTTCATCCGAAATAAATCATCTATATCTTATTCTAATATTATCTCAATGTAAGTATTGTTATGAAAATTTAATTTAGAATTGTTCTTTCAACTATTAATTTATTTGTTCAAGTCTTTCTCAAGCTAAATAAGATAATTTTTGAAGCAACATACCCAATCTTGTTATTGGTATAAATCAATAATAAATCATATTCTTTTTTAACATTCTCATGGTTTTTATAATTTCATATAATTCATAAAAAAAAAAGCAGATGAATTCTAAAAACATCATAGAATAAATCTCTATCATAAATCAATACATCCTAACATAAATTATCATTGAAATCAAAAATATTGTAAAAAAATATGAATCATAATATAACATCATTGAATAAATGAATGAATGAATTTCATTATAAATTAATGCATTGTACAGCAATGAATTTAAATAACATCATTCAATAAATTTCATTCTAAAATCATACATTTTATTATAATGATTCAATAAACATCATTGTAAATTAATACATTTTGATGCATCATAAACTGATAAATTTCATTATAATATAATGCATCTTTATATAATATCATTCAATAAATATCATTGTCAGTAATGAATTTAACAACATATAATAAATTTCATTGTAAATTAATATATTTTTATGTAATATCATTCAATAAATATTATGGTAAATTCATGCATTTTAACATAATATTATACAATAAATTTCATTGTAATTTAATACAATGTAATGCATCATAAACTTACATATTTCATTTTAAAATAATGCATCTTAATATAAGATCATTCAATAAATATTATTGCAAGTAATAAATTTAACAGCATATAATAAATTTCATTGTAAATTAATACACCTTAATATAATATGATTCAATGAATATCATTGTAAATAAATGAATTTTAACACAGTATCATACAATAAGTTCCATTGTAAATCAAAACATTTTAATACATCATGAAATTGATAAAATTTCATTGTAATATAATGCATTTATTGAATTTTACAGAAATGAATTTTAATAACACCCACCCCTAGATTTCGTTCTAAAAAAATGCATCATTATATAATATCGATCTGTAAATATCATCGAAAATTAATGTATTTTAATTCTTTCCGTCCCAAATTATTTCTACTGGACACTGACACGTCCAGATAAAAATCAACATGCTCGCATACGGATTCACGTGCGCACACATACACACCATATCTACAAACTCGACACCCACCACATCCACACCGTTGAACATTCTTTATTGCTATATTCCAGTAAATTACATAATAATTATTAAACATGTATAGATTTCTTTTTCCTACTATAGAATTCAAATGTTTAACATAACATTATGTAACAAATTTCATTATAAATGTATACATTTTCATACATTATAAATTCATACGTAGCATTGTAAATATATTTCATTTATAATATTGTAAATTATTATAAATTGATAACTGTATGTCTTTGATAAAAAAATCATAATGTAAAATAATACTAATTATTGTAAGTAATATAAAAAATTGTAAACCGTGAAAAATAAATCATGTGAGTGTCATGTTTTATCTTTATTGAGCATGCTCATGATTTGTTCGATCGAATCGTATGAGAATACTGGTGAAAATGTGTTTCATATATATATATATATGTTTTTAAACATACATTGCCAATCAAAGACATTCTAATGATGTTGATATCAATTTGACGAACGATAATTGACGATGATGTGCACATTCGAATATAATTGATTTGATTAATCATCACATGATTAATTGAAATGATGAGACACGAATTAATTTCATTGTTTTTCATGTGCATGGATGTGAATACTTGACCTTTGTTCATATACAGTCCTTCATGGACAATACATATTCTTTTCTTTCTTTTTTTTTGTATCAGAAGAAATTTCTATTCATCATTATCATCATCGAAAAAACAAAAGCAAGTAATTTGAATCATAAATCATAGAATTATTTTTTAGTGCGACTTTTGAAAATTGATTAGAGTGCATTATTCAAATGAACATATTCATTTTCTTGGAAACACAAGATCAACAAGTCTGCTGAGTACGACTGCACTGTCATTATATGAAAACTCGTTAAGACAAAGTCAAATAACTGTACAGAAAATTAAAAAGTTTTCATAAAATTCAATTTCTATCCCATCGAATGAATATTTCTGTTGAAATTAAATCACTAATAGGGTGTGGATGTGGGTGTGTAGGTGGGTGTGAATGAAGAACATAGACACACCCACCAACTTGTGTTGCTTTGTTTTTTTTTGACGAATTTCCTTATATTTTTTGTTCCTAATACAAACAATTGAATGTCAATTATTATTAGTATAAAATGAGTTTTACTTATTTAGAACTCGACAACAAGATTTTTATGATCAATATTCATCATCATACAATGATTCACATTATTGGCATGAAAATAATTCAAATTCATATGATTTTTATGGTTCAACATCCATCTCATACACTTTTACAACAAAATAGTTTTACTCAACAAGTTTATCTTAAATATGAACAAGAATGTCTTGATGGTAAAAAAGAAACGCTGATTGTAGAGAAAAAAAAGATTATTAGTTCAGTACATATTTACAATATTTCGAGAGAAACAAACTACTGGTAACAAAAGATTGAAATTACGTGGCATTGAACGTAAAGAAAAAGAGTCACTTAATGAATAAAGAACAGTCAACATATCTAAAAACAACAGCGAAAACTACTCTCCGGTAAAAATCAGAGTCTAAAAAGACTTATATTCTTATTTAAATAGCCAATAGAGAATATGTCCGTTGCTATAATTTTCACAGAAAAAACAAAGATTTTACTCTTTTATGGAGTTTTTTCAATAAATACTATCATTCTTATCTACATGATAAATTTGAAAAGCAATAAAATAATCGTCAATGATTAAAAACACTAAGTTTCACTAATCGCCACACTTTATTATTTCATAGAAAATATTTATAATCTAAAGTTATGTTGATTTACAAATAAAATACATTTTATTTTCTGTAATGATCTAATTTCTAGAACGCGTTAAACTTGTTCCTCGTCAATCAATGGAAATGAATACACTCTATCGTTTTTAGTCATTTTTCTTATGTGAAAATTTTAATCGTCATATGTACAATGAATTTAAACAATATGCTGTTGAAGATACTAAAACTGATCATCGGCATATAAATGAATTGTTTTTATGAAAAATAATAAGTAAAAAATTGAATAGTATTATTTATGTATAGATATGATGTCGAATGTCTATTTCGATTTTATACATATGATCTAGAAAAACATTTTCATCAACATGTATTTGAAGATTTTCAACAAGAAACTCTTTGTGATCATCAAGCTGGTAATAAAATAGATTACACAAAAAAAAAGAAAAGTGTCACTAACAAAAATAATTTTTCTATTTAGGTCAATTATATGGTTTAGAAAAATTCTGGGCATTTTTAAAATATTCTCGACTAAAACCAAAAATCAATTCAAAACTTGAAGAAATTTAAAAAAATATAGAAATCTTGAAGATTTTCGTGTTGATGGTGCATCATTTCCACAACAATTTTTTCCAACAAAATTAAATTATAGTAATTGAAAAACATTTTTTTTTTCTATGATATAAATAATTTCTTTATAGACTGTTCCAGCATTCAAAGCAATTGCTGCTGCAGTAGCAAAGAACAGTGATACATCAAATTCATTAGAATCCAATGGTGAACAATATCTGAACGGTGCTCATATTTTTTCAAGTGGATTTCGATTTATGTAAAAGTATGCATGTATTTTTTTTTTGCTTTCAAAGTTTATTGTTCTTTAATCAGTTTCTATGTATTTTATTACATTGGTTTGTTATTGTAGTAGATAGATAGATTAAATAGTGATGCATTTTCTTGTTCTATCGATAGAGATATGAAGAATTTTCATATGGTTTCGTTTTGTTTCTTGAAACTATTTGCTAATAAAAACAAAACAACTAAACAAATTTAATTTGATTATAATTATGCATGTTTTTCTTTTAGAAGAAAAAAAAGACAATGGCTTTATCTCGTTTATTTAATAATATTTTATTTCGATAGAAGAATTTAGTGTTTTAGGAAGAATTGGTATTAGTTTAGCTATTGTTGGTGGTGTGATTAATTGTATGCTTTATAATGGTAAATATGAAAAGATTAAAAAACACTTGTTTTCTTTAAATGTAAATATATTTTAGTTGATGATAGTCATCGAGATGTTATTTTTGATCATTTTCAAAGTGTTAAACTAGATGTTATTGAAGAAGGAACTCATTTTATGATTTCATGGCTTCATAGAACAATTATATTTGATATTCGTACACGACCACGATCTGTTCCATCAACAACAGAAATAAAACGTATAAAAGCTAGAAGAAAACAGTCAACTTCAGGAGAGAGGTGAACATGAGGAAAATGTAAGCTCGCGAAAAAAAGAAGGTAAATACGATGTCTATTGAAACATCAATGAATGTATATGGCTGAGGTATCTTAAAAAATTTTGCGGCCATCGATGGTGACTCAACTGATCGGTTTACACCTCTACACTCTCATCATTCACCAATCTTAGGATACTTCATAAAACTTAAAACTGGAAGTCTCCGTTATTTTTTCTTTGTATAAATGAAATATGCATAAATTACATTTTATTATTTTTATTTTAGATTTACAAACAATTAATATAACATTACGTATTCTTTATCAACCAAGAGCTGAACTTTTACCAAAAAGTTTTTGCAAATTTGGGTTCAGATTATGAAGAACGTGTTTTATCATCGATTATTAATGAAGTTTTAAAATCTGTTGTACTAAGTCTCAATTTGATGCTATTGAATTGATTACACAACGTACACTTATTTCTCAACGTATTAGTGAATTATTAATAGAACGTGCTGCTCAATTTGGTTTATTACTTGATGATATTTCGATTGTAAGATACAACAAAAAAAGTCTCGAGTTGATTATATATGGTTTTTTTCTTTAAATTAGACACATTTAAGTTTTAGACCTGAATTTACAAGTGCTGTTGAATTAAAACAAGTTGCACAACAAGATGTTGAAAAACAACGATTTTTAGTTGAAAAAGTAAATCAATGAGAATAAAATTGTATGAGTTTGTTTGTTTTTTGATAAAAAAAAACAGACGGAACAAAGTCGTCAAGCAAATGTTATTGCAGCAGAAGGTGATGCACGTGCAGCTGATTCGATTGGCAAAGCTTTAGATGAAGTTGGTGATGGTAAATTTTCGAATATCTTTTATTATCCTGTCTTACTTTGTTTTAATATTCATGTTAGGTTTGATCGAACTTCGACGAATTGAAACCGCTGAAGGTATTGCAAATCAATTATCAAAATCAAGAAATAGCGTCTATTTACCACATGGTCTTCAAATGTTACTTAACATCACTGGTGGTATGCAATAAAAATATTCTTTTTTGTTTTCATAGTAAACTAACGAGATTGATTTAGGAAAATAAAAAGAACATATAAGAGTTTTTTTTTGTATGCGTGTGTTTATAAACTATTGAGAATACTAAAGCATTATATTGTCCTGCTTTTTGTTCGATTAAAGAAAAAGAAGATCAGATCAACAATTCTCTAGGTGATATTAAAGATTCAAGTACGATTGAAATGATGAATTTCGATAATCTCTTTCGACGTTTTATATTAACTCAATCATTTGTACGTGGTTGGAGAAATCCATTTCATTTACAAGAAATTTTTACCTATCGACGTGAAAAAATTGGTGTAAGAGATGAGTGTTTAGAAATTGTACCAGCTGAAAATGTACAGAAAAATACTGTTGAAATAATTAAACAAGAAACAAAAAGTTAATCAAAATTATATAAATGCTCGATTTCGTTCACCACTTACCAATTATTTACCACATTTGATAATTAATTAAAATTATTTTAATAATTTAATTAATATTATCTTTTTTCTTTTGTTCTATTTATTTAAATGGATTCCATCTCAAGTAGCTATAGCTCATTTTCAACTTGTTCTATCACGTGATCAAGGTTTTAGTCGATGAAGGTTATTTACTGCAGTCCCATTAATTAATCAATATCCTATAGGTTCAATTCTTCTTGAAAATCCATATTATGGTTTAAGAAAATCACCAGATCTACTTTATTGGTGTCAAAAAATGAAATTAACATCAGCTATTCTGCATGGTTTTTCCCTTGGTGGACATAAGGCTTCATTAGCATTTACAAAGTAAGATTCAATTCTATTATTTGATCTATTTAATGAATGGATATACAGTATCTATCATAATTTCAAATAATGATTCAAGTAGAGCAAATCATATTACAAAAAGAATATAAATGAAAAACATTGATTATTTGATTCCCTAAGTTAGGATTTTTTTAGACAACCCAAAAGCCTAATTTCTCAGTATCTAGTACATGAACTCTCTAGGACAGTTTTTTATTGAGTAAAAGTTGAATAATTTTGGTAGCCATTGTGTATATATTTATATTTTAGATGGCCTGATCTACCTTCTCGACAATTCTATAAAAATAAAGTCTCTCAAACATTTTATGATTATTTACGTGAACGAAATCGATCAATAGATTCAAATAAAATTGTTCTCAATCTTATTAAAGATATGATGCGTCTCCTTATGGATGAATTTACATCTTTATATAATTATTCATGTTCGATATATTCCTCATAGACATATTAGTGCATTTTTATAATCATATCACCAATTTCTGTTACTACACCTAAAAATTCGTGAAGATATATATTTTTTTCATATAGATATTTTCTCGAAAAGTATCAAATATTTCCTAGTTTTTGTGTTATGATTTGAATCATAACTCAGAGAAAAGAAAACTTGTGATCAAATATAAACTAGATAATATATTAATCGTTTTGTTTTTTAAATATAATTTGTATGACTCTAGTAAAAACATGAGCAAACATTTTTTTTTGTCCTATTTATCAGAAAATAGATATTGAGAGAACTTCTCCGACTGATATCCTCTGTTCGAGCTCATAAGTAGGACTCATAGTCATGATGAAAACATTAAACATGTTCATGTTCTTAAGCCTTTCATGATTGTTCTATTAAATTTTCAGCATATTGCAGGATATTAGCAAAAAAAACTGTAATAACGAGTCTCCATTTGAAACTTTCTCTCAATAACAGATCTCATAACAATTATCACATTCTAAAAGTTTTAGCTCAAACGAATGGATCCAAGTCAATCAATCACAGATTCTTGCACGTTCATACAATTTGATTTCACTATATTATTTGAATCCTTTACAATAACCCATACAGATTAGAGTTCTCTTCTTTGTAAATTACCATACCATCCATACGCATACATAACCAACGTTTAAATTTCTGGTAGCATAACTGGATACAGATTTATCTATATATCTTTACTCAAAATTGGAACTAGTCTTTATCAGTTCTCTTTCTTTTTGTAGATGTGAACGAGAAGAAAAAGAACAGCGTGTGCATTTATATGATCATATCCTTAATATCAAATAAAATTTAGTTATTACTTGAAAAAGAAAATGCATTAATGCAAAATAGTTTATGTTAACAATAGAAGAATTACTTGAATTTTGTATTATAAAAATAACTTTATAAAAAAAAAGAACTATTCTTTTGCTTTATTCGTATCTGAGCATTTCAGATATTCACTCCAGAATATTGTGTAGTGAATATGAAGACACAATAGATAAATTTTATTTTGTATTTTCATATAATTTTGAAATTATTCATAGAAGATCAATGAAGAAATGTATTTCTATATAAAACATGCTCTATTGGTATTTAATGTTGAGAAGAAATTAAAAATAAACAGAGCAAAAAAGAAAATATTAGTTTTTTTACGATTGCATTTTAATGTTGATTATTTCAAATAATGACGATGGATATTTTTTATTTCTACTTCACAGTTTACATTCTTGTTAAGATATAAATAGCCAGTATTGACATAATCTGTAGCTAAAAGGCAATAAAACTTCTCTATCATTGAATCTCTGTTTATTTGCTTGATATCACAAACAGATTGACAAAAAAAATAGGGTTTATCAAGTCTAAAATGCTGATATTATATACTGAGGGTGTGGGTGTGGGTGGATGTAGGTGTGCAAGCATATAATACCTACGTCCACACCCTGTCTCAAGTAATTTGTAATACCCTTGCTGATTGATATATTGAACAATAAAATTGGCTAAGTATGCTATGAGAAAAAAGAACTTTCATATCGTTGTTTTGTTCAAAATTTACGGTATATGTCAAAAAAAATATTGTTTTTGTGAAACATGATGTAAAATGAGTGTTGAAATATAGGGGTAGAAATTTGAACTCTCCATAGATGTGACAGACGCATGAAGAGCGAATCATCACAAATGTGACATCTATTCTTAGCAACGGCCCATCAGACGCGTTAGAAACGTCTAATCACAAATTGTAAATCAATATCTTCTACTTCAAATACATGAATTACTTCCTTATTGCATTTCTCGACGATTGAGTAAAACAATCTCCCTGTGATTAGCACCAACAACTACATCGTATTTCATGCTTTGATCTCGCATGGATTGTGCTAACAACTTTTAAACCTATATTTAGACGCAAGCAATGATAAAAAGTATTCCTTATGTAGAGCACAATTTGTTCTATTGAATTATGAATTAAAAGAAAAATTTCAACTCACAACAGATGTATAACAAATAAATGGTTGGATAATTTCGAAAGGATAGAAAACGGCATCATCCTACAATTGTATCGGGAATAAAAACTAAACAGATTAATAATAAATTCATCTGAAATTGTTTTCTAATATACTAGAGACTATCGATTGTAATCGGACGAAAAGTAAAACATTCTAGCTCATCAAATATTGAAATATGCACAAAATATAATAAAATCTATCTAATAATTCGGAGAATTTTGACAGCCGCCATAAATAAAAAGTATAACTACATACTGTGTAATTAATTTCTACTATAAGCTACGAGTAAAATTTCTTGAAGTGGAAAAAAAATTTTTTTTTTACGAAATAGAATTTTTAGAATGTTCATTAGTTAGTTCGATATAATGCTTCGTTAAACATTGTTTAGAATATATTCTGAACATCATTAAATTGTTAAAAAAAGAATAGTACGATCCGCCTATTATCATCAATTATATATGGATGAGCATCATATTATAAAGCCATGGTCACAATGGAAAATAATTGAGACTTATTTTTTTATGTTGAAAAAAATTTATTATATTCTATTAAAGGATTATTTTATCTGGCAAAGACAAATAAAAAAAACCTTTTTTTTTTTGTTCATCAATATCGAGTAAGACAGTTGAAGAATTGTGCGGCTTTTTTTTTT